AACCAAAATATTAACGTTAGAATCTCGAATCATGTTCTTAAGAAGTTTCACCAAATGTAGACTCTCATTTGGATGGCATGCTTTGCGCCCCACCCTGGATTAAAAAAAAAATGTCTAAAATACCAGCTATAAAACCAAATTCTTGTATCAATGCTTAAAATGGCTCTCTCGTACCATTGTTCGTGTTTATAATCGTTACTGAATACGAATCTATGTAATTCTTCGGAAGATGACCAAACCATTTCTGTGTTTGAGTTGTAGAGTGATTGGCCATCGTTAAGTGTAAAGAATAGAAATGCCCAACAAACGTAATCGACAAAGTTTCCATTAAACAATAACAAAAGGAAGTAAAAGAACAAAGCAAAATAATACTAAGCAAACAATATACAGGCTGCGATGGGTAAATTGTCGACATTTTATATTTTTAATTTCGCGCATGCGTGTTGGTTGTTTTTGATTTTGTCGACTGCACATTATAGTAGGGTCAGTTGGGCACCGTTTGTGAGAAAAAGAGCACCATGACGCTATTCACTTCGCCTGGAAACGGCCTGCTGTGCTGCTTGGAATTCGAACCGGAAGCTCCAATACGAACATTTCAGAGTGTTTGGGTGTCAATCTGAGCACAGTGCAGACGATTCGGAAAGAGTTGGATGATACATCCAGTCAAAAGTATGGTGTTTAGAGTGATCACTAGTGATGGCAAAGTTATGCCTCCATTCATCTTCCTACAGGGCCTCCGACTTAACACAGATGCCTACATCAAGCACCTTGAGGAGGTAGTGCTGCCCTGGGTCAAGAGGCTGGCTGTTGGAAGACCCTGTGTCTGGCAACAGTACTTTGCACCATGCCAGACAAGCAGTAGAACCTAGTCATGGCTGTCAGAGAATTTCTGTGACCAGACCCACCTCTAACATCTGGCCACCTAACTCCCGAGATTGCAACCTCCTTGATTATCATGGGTGGGACACAGTTGAGCGAGAGATCAACCAAACTCCTTATAAGATGAACAGAAGGCAAGGAATATGGCAGTATTCACCAACTTAAATAAAGAGATCGTCCAGAAGAGTTGCAGGAGATTCCGAAGTTGTCTGGAGGCCGTGGTTGAAGCCAATGTCAATTTTATTGAATAAATTTACTCTTTAGTTTTTCAAGATATTTTTGTATAATTTTGATATATATCTGTTAAAATGAGATGTCAGTGTTATTTTCATTTTTGCATTATTTAGACAATGTATACCGCGGATCTTCTATATGCAAGACAAAACTAGGCAAAGCAACAGTAATAAGGCAAAAAGATCCCAAAGAATGGTGTTAACATGTGAAAAGGATACAGTCATATGCTTATATCTAGACAAGAAAGCACCAAAATATGGCGGATGAGACCGAGAAGTTGTTTATCTTATTGGCTAGGAAGAAATCCCAGCATGCATCTATATAATTTGTCTATACTTTGTTGCAGTTTTTTGTATATATTATGTACTAGTGAGCCAGTCTAAATGACTTGACTCACTTTATAGACCACCAATAGAAGGTTAACCAATCAGAAGACGTAGAATATTCAATCCGTCGTGTATAAAGGCGGCCATTTTGTTTACTCTACCCGAATGTCCAGTCTAGCTTGTCAGGCGAAGAGGAACAGAAGGACGAACTACGCTCTGCTACTTTTACCAAAATATCCACTGCTAACCTGAACAACGCTTCCCTACTGTCTTCGAAATATTCACTGCTAACCTCTGGATTCTATACTCAAAGACGACCGTCATCATGAATAACATACTTTTGGGGAAGGAAATGTCTTTACATTCATTACCCCTCAGACTGGAACTATCACGAGTCAATGTTCTTGGTTTTCTTAAAATAAATGATCTTTTTTAATGAAATTTATTTAAACAATACATTATTATTATACCTTTTCAAAACCTCCTTCAAGATGGGTTCCTAGGATATTTAGCGTAATGGTGTCACATAGCTTTTGCTACGGTTTTGAATTCTGAATTGTCTTTCTCCATTAAGCATTGCTGTACGAAAGCTAGATAGTAGTTATTAATAAGAACAGTTGAAATGAATGCATGATTTCACAAATCTAGTATCACTCCGGCATATGAACTTTTCAGCCCACCCTTGTAAGTCACGAGAAAGAAATTTTATGATAAAAACCGTCGAGATTCAAGTCCACCTTAAACAAAAGCGTCTTGGGTAAGACGATAAACTACATCCGCGTGCTGGGTAAGCTGATGAACTACATTCCCATCCTGGGTAGGACATTAAACTACATCCGTGCCCTGGGCAAGACGATAAACTATATCCGTGTCCTAGATAAGATGTTAAACTACATCCCTTTCCTGGGTAAGACGATAAACTACATCCCCGTCCTCGGTAAGAAGATAAACTACACACGAGTCCAAAATAAGACGTTAAACTACATCCGCGTCCTAGATAAGACGTTAAACTACATCCGCGCCCTGGGTAAGACGTTAAACTACATCCACCCCTTGGGTAAAACGATAAACTACATCCACCCCTTGGGTAAAACGATAAACTACATCCACGCCCTGGGTAAGACGATAAACTACATCCCCGTCCTGGGTAAGCAGATAAACTACACCCGCGCCCTGAGTATGACGTTAAAATACATCCATGTCATGGGTAAGACGATAAACTACATCCGTACCCTGGGTACGACCATAAACCACATCTGCGTCCTGGGTAAGACAATAAATTACATCCGCGCCCTGGGCAAGAAGATAAACCACATCCGCATCCTGGGCAAGATGATAAACTGCATCCGCTACCTAGGTAAGTCGTTATTTACATTCGCGTCATGGGTAAGATGATAAACTACATCCGCGTCCTGGGCAAGACGTTAAACTATATCCACGTCCTTGATAAGACGTTAAACTACACCCGCGTCCAGATAAGACGATAAACTACATCAGCGTCCTGGGTAAGACGTTAAACTACACCTGCGTCCTGGGCAAGACGATAAAGCACATCTAAGACTTAGATAAGACGTTAAACTACACCCGTGTCCTGGGTAAGACGATAAACTACATCCGCTACCTAGATAAGACGTTATCTACATTCGCGTCCTGGATAAGAAGATAAATTACATCCGCGTCCGGGTAAGATGATAAACTACATCCGCTTCCTTGATAAAATGTTAAACTACATCCGCGTCCTGGGTACGACGATAAACTATATCCGCATCCTGGGTACGACGATAAACTATATACGCCTCCTGGGTACGACGATAAACTATATCCGCGTCCTGGGTACGATGATAAACTATATCCGCGTCCTAGATAAGACGTTAAATTACATCCGCGTCTTGGGTAAGACGATAAACTACATCCATGTTCTCGGTAAGAAGATAAACTACATGCGTGCCTTGGGTAAGACGATAAACTACACCCGCTTCCTGGATAAAACGTTAAACTACATCCCCGTCCTGGGTAAGAACACAAACTACAACCGCATCCTGGGTATGACGATATACTACATCTGTATCCTAGATAAGGCAATAAACTACATCCGAGTCCTAGATAAGACGTTAAACTACATCCGCGTCCTGGGTAAGACGACAGACTACATCCGACAGCAAGGCATTTGATCAGGTCTTGTGGAGCGTGGAACCATCTCTTATTGCTGGTGTTCCATAGTTCACCTGTTAATGTCCCTACTATGGGCAATTATTTAATCTTCGCCAAAAGGGTTCAAACTCTATGGAAGTATAAAAATTGGTTTTAATACCAGCAATACTTGTTTGGAAAAATTATTAACAGCAGTACATTTTTGAAAGAGAACAATATTACCAGTTATAGATTTTGAGGAAAAATATTACCAGCAGAAAAAATATTATCAGCAATATATTTTTGAAGGAAACATTTTTTGTAAATAATTATTACCAGCAATAAAAATCTTGTCGGCATTAAATAACCCATTGAGGTTGATATGCCGTAAAACTCAACTTAAACAAAAGTCTTGGTAAGAAGCTCCCGCCAATATTGGAAACAGTGGTAAATGTGTTATACTAGAAACACATCTATTCTATTGTTAATAGACTCTCCCATTTATAATAACTAGTAGTAGTAGCAGTCGCCTGGGAGCTCATTGAGTTGATCTGATTTCAGTCTGAAGTCGGAACTCTCTGCCTTCGGGCGGGGAGGAACCCGGACGAGGCTACGCCGAAGGGCGGATTCTCTTTCGGGGCGGTAAACCGACCCTGAGCCCGTTTATACGGGTTCAAAGGGCATGTTTTTGGCCGAGCCCACGAGCTCGGAGATCCCACGTTAAACTGGCCTTGTGCCACATGATGCCCTCGTGGGGGGGGTGACTAAATACCGCTCAGTGAGTTGGTGAGCCAGTCGATGTCGGACATTAAAGTATCAACCACCACAACTAGATTGCTGCGTCATTAACTATTATTTCAAGTTCCTAACGTTTTGTACGTCGGACCTAATTTAGGACCGACTTAGTGAAATACAACTCTCCACTGTGAAAACTACTCTACAACAAAATGGGAACTTGAGAAATGTATTTTCCTGAAAAATTGTTTGAAGAAAAACTTATGACTTGCAATCAAAAGTAACAGCATCTGTTTAGTCAATAAATGTCAACAGTTTATTGTATAGAAACTTCTAATTTCATCCTTCCCTTCACCAAATAAACCGCGTTCGTAAATGTTACCTACAAGTAGACAGAAATTAACAAAAACATAAAGAAACACTTTTTTTCTTTTTCTTTGTTGAATAAATCGGAATTAAAAGTTGATCGTGTTTGGATCCTGTGTGGAAAAAATATTTGAAGGACGTGGAGTCAATAAACCAGATTTGTTGGGACCAAATACATGTTTGTATTGCTTGCGAAATAATCAAATTTAGGGGACAAAATCTTAAAAGAATTGTGTTTATGTAAAAAAAAAAAGGAAACTTGTTCTTTTCCTGGAGTATATCCGAAAATATATTCAGCTCAAAAGAACACAAATGAACGATTTCATATAGTATTTTCGCATATCTGAACCCATCATTGCAACTGCCTACCAATGTAAGACTTCATGTCGCTGACAATCTAATACTTTTTCTTTCTTTCTTTCTTTCTTTCTTTCTTTCTTTTGTATTTTTATTCTCGCCCCTCTTTTGACCTTCTTTCTTTCTTTCTTTCTTTCTTTCTTTCTTTCTTTCTTAGCCTTGGCGTTGGCTAAGGGTTAAAGAGGATCTTGTGGTTGATTTCTACTTTGTACTTATTTCGATATGAAATATACAAAATTCGACATTAATTAACTCAAGTTTTCACATGTCGTTAAATCAACCAAACATCTATCTATCTATCTATCTATCTATCTATCTATCTATCTATCTATCCGTACATATTTCAAAGCATTTCCGAATGTTGTACCACACTTGAAAAAGAAATCAAAGCTTTTGGGGCATAGGTTACGGGCAATTAATTCATCGACCTGTACATTAATTCATCTGATGTGGACAACAAGTAAATGTTCTCTCCAGAACCGTAATCTAAAATGTTTATAAAGTTTTTATACTAAAGACAAATAACCTTTTTTGTCACTTGCGTTTATCCTATCATAGCTGATTATTGGAGTAACAGCATTTTGCTATTACTGCCTGGGTAGATAGTAGCGTGTAATTCATGCAACTACTCATTTACACATCGATTCTGCTGATGAGAAGACATTTTCCAAGATGATCGACGATAGCGTGTAGTTGTGTAGTTAATTCACTTCTTAAAAATTCCGCTACAATTCCAAAACCTTTTCGCAGTATCGATTTCCATAGCGATAACCGGTACGCCATTGCTAAAGACGCTAGATTCATTGATGAAGTTGCTAGGAAAATGGTCTGCTCATTTTCTTCTTCAAGGAAGAATCAGGCTCTTCCTGCCATTCTTTGTCTTTACAAGAGTTAGATTAGACCAAAAATGGAATATTTTGGCTATATCTGAACTGGCACTTTCCAAAGTTGCCTCACGCTGAGGTCGTCTCCTTAGGACCGAAATCACCTTCCTGGCATATCGACCATGCTGAGGATTCGAACTCGGGTCCCATGCTTAGAAAGCGAGCGTCCTAATCACTCGGCCACCTTTGGAAAGTGTCTTGAACATCATACCACGGGTTGTCCCAAGCTTTGCGATTGAAACTGCGTAGACGAAACCCTTGGGAGCCGCCGATAGTTATGCTAGCACTAATCTACAAGTCATCGTGACCGAGAGTTTAAGTGTTCTGGCCTTGTTCAGACTGTTGATCACACTAGATAACGCGCTCTCTCCCAGAAACTGTAATTAAGGTCTGATCAGCATAGTTGCAGTATAAACCACAGGTGCGCTCTGTAGGTGTTGAACAAATACAATTATGCCTGAACAGGCGTCTGCAACGGGGATTAGCTAGCTTCTCTAGTAGACGGGTATCCTCGGATAGAAGTGCCCGCACCGTTTATATCTGAGCCCACTTTCCAGCTTTGGTTGAGATCAAAATCCTTTACGCGGTGTTGTAGGTGCGAGGGAAGACTTATTCTACCCCGTCCTAAGTATGACGATAAACTACGTCCAACAGCAAGGTCTCTGTTCAGGAGGTTTGTGGAGCGTGGAACAATCTCTTAATTGCTGGTGTTCCCAGGTCCACCATGACCCGGGGTGGTAGCACTTGTTAGGGTCCCAGCTATGGGCAAATAGTTAACCCCCAAACTGGGGTGAAAGTGTATAAACATGTTTTAAAACCATAAATATTGTGTAAAAAATTATTACAAGCAATGAATATTTGAAGGAAAAATTATTACCAGCAATCGTTTTAAAGAATATTACTAGCAATACATTTTAAAAAATATTACCAGAAAAAGATTTTTGATGAAAATATATTACCAGAAATAGATTTAAGAAAAAAAAAATATTAACAGCAATACATTTTTGAAGAAAAAATATTATCAGAAATAGATCTTTTGAACGAAAAAATATTACCTGAAATACATTTTTGGAAAAATATTACCAGAAATACTTTTAAAAAAAATATTATCCGCAATAAAAATCTTGTCGGCATGAAGTTACCCATTGAAGTGTTGATATGCCGTAAACCAAACCAAACCAAGCAGTGGCCGTAGATTCTAGTCACTGGATCTGTTGAAGTCAAATACAGAGGTGTAGATTGAGCATCTATGTTGCCAACCTGACAGGGGGCACTGCACAATCCTCCAGCTACATATACGGTGCAACAACTTGCTCATGCCTCTGACAACAGCAAAGCAACCCCCTTTTTCTACCCACCCTCAGCATATCTCTCACATACACAACGTAGCGAACCTGTCGCTAAACTCTCGCAATTTCAAATGTTCAGATGAGCCCTACTGTTCCACGTCATGCCACTTCCACAGAGTTGAATCATCCTCATTTCTCCCATGTTCCAACGTAAATTACACTCAGACATTTTCCCCCAATGTCACTTTGTGGAACAGACTCCCGTGGGGATGATTCCTTGAATCACTTCAGATCAAGCTTCAGTCGTTATCTATCCTACTTATCTTCATAATCATCCCTTATTACTAATTCTTTTTTCATTCATATCACGCAGCTTATTCATTATGACCATTTTAACATTAACCCTCTACCTTGAGTGGCTCTCGGTTCTTGTATTAGATTTTTAGTATAAAATCGCCACTTCAAAGGAAAAGGATCTGAATTCGACGCAAAGAAAAGTTTAGCGAGGAAGATTGTGTTACGCCAATTCGCAATGTGAAGAGAGATTGCGTAGAAAAGGGATCCAAATTCAGTTTACGTAAGCTTTAACACCGGCCTCTGAAAGTTCTCCACTGCCTTAACCACGTATTGAACTCACACTCATTGGGTCCTGTCAGATCTAACCAACGCCTTTATCCACTGTGCCATGTGTCCTTGAGGGAAATGAGCAGGAGATAACTGATAACTGACATCCATAAAACATGGCACGTGGAACTAGAACAGTCTACCCCAGTGAGCGAAATAAAGGGTTCAGTTCGAAATTCCAACCACCTGAAGAAGGCCGGAGCGTACAACGGCCGAAACGTTGTGATAAATATGGTGACAAAGATGAGGACAATAATCCGAATAATGTAAATAATGCTTTTTCAGGACGTTCGAAATTTTGGTTAATAATCTTGTTTTTCTAGCGTCAGTCGGGTGGGGCGAGGGTGTGGGCCAATGATTAGTAGAGGAAATGTTACCACCTTTTTTGCGATGAAAAACACATTGCTTTGGAAATTCCTGCAGAAATCAAATAATTGTCGAATTTTAATGAAACTTTTAGGACTTGTTCCCAAATGAATGAAATTATATTAGAAATATGCCTGTTTTAGAAAATGTTTGTAAAAAATCTTTCTTTTCATTTTTTCATCCCCCACTTATTTAATTTTATGAAATTTCGACAAATTCATTTTTGTACCGATTAATGTTTTATTTTAATTATATGCAGAAGCCCTTGGAGAATTTAAATCATCATTTGTTTTTGGTAAAACAATTCCTCCAGTTACCGAAAATCTGCTCTGAATTGTGAAATAAAAAGTGCAATAAAACTAAGACATTATTTAATTAGAAGAACATTTAATTGGTTTTATGAATAAGATAAATTATCGACACTATTGGCTTAAGAAAAACATTAATTAATTAACAGTTATTTTTATAAAATTTTAATTAGAATAATTTAAAAGTTTTAAATATTTTAAATATATCTATTAATATGCACCGAATCAGTGATATTGTTATTAAGTAAAATCTAAATTTACTAATCATAAATGAAAAGCTTACTCCAATTCATCGACCACCAATATTTTAAAGCAAAAAATATTTGCTCCTTAATTAATCTATCTATCTATCTATCTATCTATCTATCTATCTATCTATCTATCTCAAGATTATCCTATAAATCATTATTCTTCTGTGTTGCATCTCTTCAGGACGTAGATGAACAAGGCTCTTCACAAAATCCTTTTGGTACTTAGCAGTTTTATCCCTTTGCTTAGCTCTCCCTCCTCCGCGTGCTGTCATTTATTCACACACGCTCGCCTGACTCGATCATTTCATCTATCTCTTTTGCCCTCAATATTTCCCGTGAGGGTTAAATTTTCCAAGCCCTTCTCCCTCATTGTGCACCCAAGGAATTTCAGCTGTCTTTCCATGATCCTACGTATAAGTATTCTTTTTTGTTGCCATACGTTCGGAATTCGTTAAGCCTCCTTTATTTGTGGCCAAACTAAACGTAGTTTATAATATACCTATATTGATGGAGAATATGAAAAAGCGCGAGAGAGAGAGAGATAAAGATATATATATATATATATATATATATATATATATATATATATATAGAGAGAGAGAGAGAGAGAGAGAGAGAGAGAACGCATTGATGTTTGCGGTTTCAAATAGATCAAAATTTGTGATAGAATAAGAAGCATATCAGAAACGTTTATAAGTTTAACGTTTCGATTTTATTTTAGCTTTTTTTTTTATTAGAAATTTTTGGAAATCAGTTAAACATTTCCAAAAACGTTAAATTTATAAACGTTTCTTATTTGCTCCTTATACTAGAATTCGCTTTCTTATTTGTTTCTTATTCTATCATTTCAATTCTTTTGAATATTATTCTATCATTACCATTCTTATCTGTCCATTATTCTATCATTCCCATTCTTATTTGCTCCTTATTCACTCATTCTCATAGCCATTTGTTCCTCGTTCTATCATTCCCATTCTTATTTGCTCCTTGTTCTATAATTCCCATTCTTATCTGTCCCTTATTCTATCATTCCTATTCTTATCTTTTCTTTATTATATCATTCCTATACTCATTTGTTTCTTATTCTATCATTACCATTCTTATTATGCTCCTTATTCTCTCATTCTCATACCCATTTGTTCCTTCTTCTGTCACCCCCATTCTTATTTGCTCCTTATTCTATAATTCCAATTCTTATTTGTTCCTTATTCTAACATTCCCTTTCTTATCTGCCCCTTATTATATTATTCCAATTCTTATCTGTTCTTTATTCTAACATTCTCATTCTTATCTCTCACTTATTTTATCATTCCCCGTCTTATCTGTCCCTTATTCTATCATTCCTATTCTTATCTTTCCCTTATTCTATTATTCCCATTCTTATCTGTCCCTTATTCTATAATTCCCATTCTTATTTGCTCCTTATTCTCTTGTTCTCATACCCATTTGTTCCTTCTTCTGTCATTCCCATTCTTATTTGTTCCTTGTTCTATAATTCCCATTCTTATTTGTTCCTTATTCTAACATTCCCATTCTTAACTGTTCCCTTATTCTTACATTCCCATTCTGTCCGAGTTTAAGCTATATTTGATCCTAATTCCTTAAGCCTTATTCAATAATTTGATTATCGTTTGTTTCTGATTTAAAAAAAAATGACAAAATATTTCTGCTGCTTTTTGCTAATCAACCTCCCCGACTGAGCAGCAATCGATTATTGAATATCTCAGTACCTCTGTCATGTATCATCATAATCTACCAACGAGTTCCTCCCACCCACTCACGAAATGTGTTACCATAATAAGTTTCCCCGTCGACAAGTAATTTCACTAAATCTTTTCCTCATGTCATGTCGTAAGTCTCACACTTTCAGACCATTGGCTTTTCTTCGGGCGGACTCTTGCTTCCTCGTGACATAACACCATAAGTATTGATAATTTGCACTATCACTAAATAACGTAAATCTCGCAGTTCCCTGCAGCCACTAATTTTGCAAGTCTCGCCCGTTCACGCCCCCACGACGTGAGTTCTTAGTTTTCTACTCGAAGCTTTATTCAGAGTTTGGCCCACGCTTTCCATTGTGATAAAATTCCGTATTCCGAGCTGATTTTTCACACCGGCACGTAATATTGTAAATCTCGGCCTTTCTCAATTATTCATAACGTAGCAAGTCTCACGATTTCTCGCTGACTTATAAAGTCACAAATCTGAGACGTCTGCCCGCCAATGATTCTTAAGTTTCCTTAAGACACGTAAATTGTGTAAATCTTGCTATTTCGCGTCGCTGCGATCAGTTGTAAATTTCGAATTGTCTTCACACTTTCAAACGTTCGATTCTTGACGTATTTTCTTTCGTCTAACTCTTACATCACTGCATGCATCATGATGAAATAATGGCTAACAAGACAGTCTAGTGAACCACTACACACCAAGATTATTAAATAACTTTTAGTTCTGAATCAAAATCTACTGTGCACCAACAGAACAAAAAAAAAAAAAAATCCGGATTGAATAGGAATCCATCTTTTTCTGAATTATGACAATTCCTATCATTAGGAATTTTTTTCAACTTACGGACAATTTGTGGCCTTGTGCAAGACTAAAATATGGTCAGTAAATAAATAGGATGTCTATAGATTAAACAGTTACGTTTTAAAGGCTTTATCGGCTTGGTTGACAACAAAATAAATAAATAAATAATAGTTATAAATAAGCTAGTTTCGCAGATTATTCCTATTAACCTCGCGCGTCTTACTGGCATTATCGCCTTGCTTGGGGTGAAATGATAAAAAACGAAATAAGCTAGTCACGGACAAGTTTGTATTGATGTGATTATATATATATATATATATATATATATATATATATATATATATATATACCTTATCTTAGGATATTACATCGAAAATCACGTCAAAATCGCTACACGATTGTGAACTCACTCGCCAGTAATTTACAATAGCCTAATGATTCACATCGAAACACGACTGCGATTGCGTAGCGATCTTAACATGTTTTTCGATGTAATATCATAAAATAAAGAATATTACTTTACTTTTTATTGAGTCCTCTTTTAAATTAAATGTTTAAATGTTACGAACGTTTGAATTGGATTCTATTCGTTCTCATCTTACCGGGATATATATATATATATATATATATATATATATATATGCATTGTTGTATTTTAAAATATTCTAGGGGAATATTCAGTGAGAATAATTGTCAATTCAAGCATTGAACAGTGAAACGGCATCCCGATCCACAATTATTTCCACTGAACAGAACGGTTACCTCACACCAAAATAACCATTAGGTTCATGCAATAGCCTAACCACAATGCATCACTGACATATATATATATATATATATATATATATATATATATATATATATATATATAGTAATTCGTCGAGCTTATAATAATCCTCAACAGAATGCAGAAAGCACTAGACGGCTGTTTCGTCCTATCTGGGACTCATCAGCAGTGCGAATCCATTACCGAAAATCGAACCCGGACACAACTAGACCCAGCTGATGCTCTGCGATGGAGCGGCTAATGAGTATCGCTACGGAACTGAGTGAGCATCGGCGCTATATCAATTTTAGTTTGTGTCTTCTTCGTCACTGAAGCCCGTGGTACAGTTGGCCTGGCGTTTGCGTTTGTATCGAAATTATCCGGGTTCGATTCCCGGTAGTGAATGCGCACTGCTGATGAGTCCCAGGTAGGACGAAACGGCCTTCCAGTGCTTTCTGCATTCTGTTGAGGATTATTCCAGGTTCGACGAATTGCTACATGATTAGTCTAAATCCCCAAAATTATATATATATATAGATGCGTATAATTTGGCAACTTGTTTTCGTTAAGACATGTGTCGTTAAATAATTTAGACAAGTTTTGTCTATTTATTTTTAATAGGATCCTCTCGTAATTACGGACAAGTGTCTTAATATCCTTATTAAAGGAAGACAGAAAATTGCCATGTTGATGCATATTCATTTTATTCTGAGTACTTTCGACATTAGCATAATATCGTCATCAAAGTGTTGTCTTTTCTATGAGAAAAATTGCTGTATTCATCATATTTGTAAAACAAAATTGATGCGGACATCTGAAAATTATTTTTTTTTAACGGTTAAAGTGAAAAACACTAATATTATGTACCATACAATTTTAAATTTTATCATGTAGACAAACGTGCGAACGTCAAGTTATGTAATATTTATAAAAACGAAACAATATTTAAAAATATTACTTAAAACCTCGATATTTTAAACTATCTACTGTACACAGTTTAAAACATTTGTGCAGTATTCAAAATTAATTTTATTAAGGGTTGGTTTAAATTTTTTAGTATAGATAGCCTCCAGAATTTTTAGTTTATGTTTTTTGTTGTTATTTTGAATAACAGTAGGAGTGTTTATTCGGAACTTTGCGTGTTGATCGCATCTGGAATTCGAGTAGGTGTCTTTCTAGTTTTTTTAAAAACTTTGAAGATATTCTTCCCATTGTTGAACAAGGTGAGGTTGATAATTGGGGCGAGATGTTTTATATACAAGGCCTATCACAATAAGATGTTTCCGGTAATATGATTTATATAATACTCTAGTGTTTTCGACCAGAATTTTTCTTGTAAATTTTAGGTGGTTAGAGTTTTTTAACGCCTCGACCAGATAAGTGATATGTAATGCGTCTTTTCAGGGATGTGGTAGTATGTCAGATATAGGCAATTGATTTATGTACAGAAACACATTCTTGTACTGGGCAGCTAAACTGATATACTATATTAGTCATCTCTAGTTTAGATTTCATGGAGTTAATTTGATTAGTGACAACAAGGACCAAAGTGTTCCATTTTCTGTTATTACATGTTTACAGGAGGCAGAAATATGGTGTTTAATGATTCTTCGAAGGGCGAATTCGTTTGGCATTTAACTGGTGTTATTTTCAGCATGTCGACTCTAGAGTTTCGTGGGCGGACGCTCCAGCAATCGCCCCGTGCACTCCTCAGGAGATATCAACAATTGACTGTTTATTTTCATGTTTTATATATATATATATATATATATATATATATATATGTGTGTGTGTGTGTGTGTGTGTTTGTGTGTGTGTGAAAAGTGTGTGTATATAAATATAAATAAATATATATATATATGTATAATTATTTATACATTATATGCGCGGTACTTATTAGAAAGCGCTCAATATCAGAGATAGAGCTAACAAACTCACATCTATCCAACCATATATATATATATATATACAAATGAGAGAAAGAACAGATGAAGTAAAATTCAGCTGTTCGTAGGATTTACTTTTAAACAAGTGCTCAATACAAAGTAGAGCAATATATTATTATCATTTTATTATGAGATTGATGTGGACCCAAAGTTGGGACCACAGAAGGAAAACACGGAACACGGATTACAGGCAAGAAAGATATATTAAACAAAAAGGTTACAAAGATAGTGTAAGTGTAAGCGGAGCTTACTATATGCTAGTGTCCAATATTGGTAGTCGTACGCGGCTGATACTACGGCATTAGAATACTCTCTCTCCTCCTCGTCTTCTCTCTTAGAGTGTTATGTCGCATACTTTATATAGTCCTGGAAGAGTCCATGTTGTAGGTATGTTACGGTCTAACAATAGAGATATAACAGACATATGTTGAAATCGCTACATAATAGCTTTCATGTTTCGGCACTAGATACAACGTAGTACCGAAACACGGAAGCTATTGTGTAGAGATTTCAACATGTTTTAGTTATAATGATAATAATAATAATAATAATAATAATAATTAAGGAAAAATTATTACCAGAAATACATTTTTGAACAACAAAATGTAACCAGCAATACATTTTTTTAAGAAAATATATTACCAGCTATAAAAAAAATAAATAAATAAATAAAAAATCTTATCGGCATTAAATAACCCAATGAGAATGATATGCTGTATAAAAAAAAAAAAAAAAAAACAAAAAGAAAATCAAATCTTGTACGGGATGAAGATATTTAAAAAAAATAATTTCTTACAACTGATCGATACACCGACGTGATGCTTCCTTTAATAATAATATTAAAAAAAATATGACGTAAGTTGAAATGAATCTTTTAATAAATAACAGATAATAGAAATATAATTAGACCGACTTAATCCGCCTAATCTCATACCAATACTCGTGTGGGAACATGGAAATAAATATTTTGGCTGGTTATTTCTCAATTCTCTTTATATTAATGTTGCATACCTAAGACAAGTAGATTCACTGGTGGAATTAAAAGTCAGTGAAGGTGTGATAGAAAGGTAGACACTTTTGTTTATCCAATTCATTGACCACTTTTCGCCATTGTCTTCTCGCTATTCATTTTCGGTACAAAAAGCAAAGAGAAAAGTGATTTTTTTTACAGGGAGCATCCGTGGAAAGATGAGGACAAACACTAATCACCATTCGAGGTAGTGAAACCTTTTAGCACAGTCTCAATGTTATCTATCTATCTATCTATCTATCTATCTATCTGTCCCAGTATCTATCTATCTGTCCCAGTCTCGTCATATCTATCTATCTATCTATCTATCTATCTATCTATCTATCTATCTATATATTTCATTATGTTTGATCATATCATATCATGTCATTATCTATCTATCTATCTATCTATCTATCTATCTATCTATCTATCTATCTATCTATCTCATTGTGTTTGATCATATCTATCTATCTATCTATCTATCTATCTATCTATCTATCTATTTCATTATGTTTGATCATATATCATGTCATATCTATCTATCTATCTATCTATCTATCTATCTATCTCATTGTGTTTCATCATATCTATTTCATTGTGTTTCATCATATCATATCATGTCATTATCTATCTATCTATCTATCCTATTGTGTTTCATAATATATCATATCATATCATATCTATCTATCTATCTATCTATCTATCTATCTATCTATCTATCTATCTATCTATCTATCACACTCTGTTCTTATCCATATTTCTATCTATCTATCTATCTATCTATCTATCTATCTATCTATCTATCTATCTATCTATCTATCTATAGTCTCGTCATATATATTATCTATTATCTATCTATCATCTATCTATATATATATTTCATTATGTTTATCTATCATATCATGTATCTATCTATCTATCTATCTATCTATCTATCTATCTATCTATCTATCTATCTCATTGTGTTTGATCATATCTATCTATCTATCTATATATATATTTCATTATGTTTGATCATATATCATGTCATATCTATCTATCTATCTATCTATCTATCTATCTATCTATCTATCTATCTATCTATCACACTCTGTTCTTATCCATATTTGTATCTATCAGTCTGTTCCTATCTATCTATCTATCTATCTATCTATCTATCTATCTATCTATCTATCTAAGGTTGCTTAACTTCTTTTCACATCTCATTTTAGTATCTTCTCACCTAACTATCTCTATTTTTATTGCTCTTCTCATACATCACTCCCCCTCCCACACTAACCCCAACCATCGGCGTTTTCTTTCCAACTCCCAGCACCCCTTTCACCTATCTATCTCTATTGAACCCACTATATCAATTACCCCCCTCCATCTCCACGCCATATCCCCACCCCCCTCCATTTTTTGCACTCTCCCTTTGGTCACGTATCTTGATGGCTGAAACTATTTTTCAGTATGGACTTTATATAAGATGTAAGCAACGTTGCAGAAAATGTCGAGAAGAAGTAGCGTTCTTGAAACCATTCAGTTGTGAAATGGTTGTTGGAATTGTTCGGATAGAAATAGTTCTTACTTGCCATCTCTGCCTCCCCCTGAACAAATGTCCGTTGAAATGAAAATAGAATATGGCTAATAACGGTCTGACCCAGTAACAGACAGGCTCGCCGACACACACACACACACACACACACACACACACACAAAACATGACCATGTGTGTAGATTTGAACGCTGACGCATAGATAAAAGGCTACATAGGAACATATTTAGAAAATAGACCACAAAGGAGAAATGTTAAAACACAAACCCTGACGTATATCTTACACATACGATACGCAAGACGATTGCCGGTAAAGCGTCAATTCTCGAGTATATCTCGCAGACTGTGAGACTCTTCCAGATAGAGTCTTTACGATCTCGCGCTAGAATATATGTAGAGTGATTACATTGTTCGTACTGTTGTCCTCATCTTTGTTGTCATATTCACGACGTTTCGGTCGTTGAACACTCCGGACTTCTTCAGGATCAGTTTATGTTTCTGAGATGTGGTATTGTAACTATTTACACTATTTAAATTGTTCAGACTGTTGTCTTCATCTTTATTGTCATGTTGAAGACGTTTCGGTCGCTGTAAACTGCGGCCTTCTTCAGGATCTGTTTATGTTTCTGAGATGTGGTATTGTAACTATTTACACTATTTATATTGTTCGGACTCTTGTTCTCATCTTTATTGTCATATTCAAGACGTTTCGGTCGTTGTATACTCCGGCCTTCTTCAGGATCTGTCTATGTTTCTGAGATGTGGTATTGTAACTATTTACACTATTTATATTGTTCAGACTCTTGTCCTCATCTTTATTGTCATATTCAAGACGTTTCGGTCGTCGAACACTCCGGCCTTCTTCAGACTCTGTCTATGTTTCTGAGATGTGATATTGTAAATATTTACACTATTTACATTGTTCAGACTGTTGTCTTCATCTTTATTGTCATGTTGAAGACGTTTCGGTCGCTGTACACTTCGGCCTTCTTCAGGATCTGTTTATGTTTCTGAGATGTGGTATTGTAACTATTTACACTATTTATATTGTTCAGACTCTTGTCCTCATCTTTATTGTCATATTCAAGACGTTTCGGTCGTCGAACACTCCGGCCTTCTTCAGACTATTTGCAGTATCTTGTTCAAACTCTTGACCTCACATTTATTGTTATATTCATAATGTTTTGATCATTGTACACTCCGGCGATGGATGTATTATTAAGTGACCTCAACTCAGATGGTTCTATGGGTTTTAATAGCAGAGTAAACTGTACTCTCTAGCTGTGGTTGGTAATAAGTCTAGGAGAAGGGCAACTCTGAATTCTCAATCGATCAGTGTTCTATTTATACAAAGAAAAAGGAAAGAAAATCCATCCGCTTGAGGTAGAATACGCAACTCATAAAAGTGAAGAATTTAAGCCACTACATGTTTTTATGGCCCGATGAGTCTCCGTGGGTGCCCCAACGGGATGGGTAATTTTCTCGATTCACCATCTATAAAATGGTTTCCATCTATAAAATGCTTGCCAACCAAGACTATAGAATCCAGTCTGTTCTATTTAACCCATAGTTGAGGGACAGAAGAGATTGATATATTCATTTCCTAAAGGTATTGGCGCGTAAGTGAATGCAACGAACACGGCTGAAATTCGAATTCAGTTCTGACATTTCTAATTCTAAGCCTCAATCCATTATACCATACGCACCTCAACAAAGAATATACATTAAATCTCTATTGCTGATAGTTTAAGATGGATTGTCGGGCAGCAAATACCAAACTTTTGTTCTGGTCCATTTCCCTGCTTCTGTCTAGCGTATGTTTAAATTTTTGTTTAAACTTCGGGAGGGAGATTATTTTTTACTTAGCAGAGAACCGCCACGCGTTGGGACAATGGGTATGTACTCATGGCGTTTCTCTTTCTATACAGTGAAAATATTTATTAAGGGATTCACAGTTATCTTTGGCGATACGTTGTGGAATCTCCAGCATTATCATGTACAATGGAATTGGTGCATTCAATTGGGATGTCTTTAGCTGGAGTTTCTTTTCAACTGTGAAAGCAAAATACTCTCAATGTGCTTGGTTTCCTTCCGTAGTGAAGGGATAAAAGTGATGGGATAAATTTATGAATATCAAACAGAAGATTTTAGGGGTTCATTTTATTGATGTCACCTTAATTATCAGGTTTACTAAAGTGTATTACTGATAAAGTTTATCAGTTAATTAGAATTTTGGAGATAAATTAGAAAAATTCGGTACATCTATTTTAAAATCTTTGACTCAAAAACACTTTTTCTTATAAAAATACTTTATTTCAAGTGTCTGACATAAATTGCTCAGCCTACCTGAAAATTGATAGGTTTCTACTATTTTTCTTAAGTAAATTTTGCAATTAGCCAAGATTGTAAATTGATCTTTTTTCCAAAAATAAACAATTTCAGTACAGCTAAAACAGTAGCTAACCATGCAAAACTAAGACCATTTTCGGAATCAGCACAAGCAAATTAGTTAAAAAAATGTGTTTTGTTTCTTGCCACCAAAAACTGTGTTGACCAGTGTTATTCTTTACTCAGCGAAGAACTGCCCCGCGTTGTGACAATGGCGTTGCGCTTTTTACACAGTCAGTGAAAAGATTTATTAAGGTGAGGCGAGGCGTTGTGGAATCTATACTCTCCACTGACTTCAAATAACAATAATAAACATTATATTAAAAGCGCGTCACTAAATCAGTGGTTAGTCAAACCACTTGCCAGTTCCTTACTAATTTAGCGTGCGAATTAACACAGTTTCCAGAGTCTATGTTGGTAAATAACCTTTAGAGTGCGTTCTACCCAAATCATTTACAGTTTAACGTGCAGTCTACTTGCACATCAATGTGCAGCCTCCCTCCACTACAAGTCACAACGTAGACTACGGAAACTGCAGTAGACCTGACTCTAAAGTAGTACCATGAGTTCGATCCTGACTCGAAGCCTCATTCAGTTAATTTTAATAAATGATCAAAACGTCGACTCTCTCTGTAGCTGCTCTTAAAAAATCAATTAAAAGTATTAGGTTGGTGCAAAAGTAATGACGTAATAATGACGTTTTTTGACGTATTTTTTAACGTCAAAAAACGACATTATTTAATACTTAACTGGATAATTACTTGGTGCCCTGTTATTCTGGCTTTGTGTTAGATTGGATTATGGTTAGACTCGTAATTACTCCTGTATATTTACTCCTAAGTTTGCGTTCGAAATTCTGAAAAAAAATAAAAAATCTGTGCGTATTATATGCAGGGATTTTTTTTTTCAGAATTAACAGCAGCTAAATTTAACCTAAATTTAATCTTATCGTTTTATCCAGTTCTTATCGACTAAAAATAAGAATTATATTATATTTAAGATTGTTCTTTCGATCCTGAATTATTACTGACATTACGCCTACAAGTTTCAAATAAACAATTGGCCATTCCTCTTTGATTGGATAGACGAAAGAAAATACATGGCAAAATGCTGTTTGGTCTTAGGGAAAGGAAAGAACGGTGATTTTATAAGCATAGATGTGTCACAAAGCCGAACGTATAGGTCAACCAGTGAGGACCGAACACACTATTCAACCGCAATTGATGTAGCAAGTCTAGCTTGCTAACCATTACACTACGTCGGGGTGTCGAAATGCGAGAAAGAAAAGCGATAACGGTCTACTGCATTTAACGTCTGCTTCAGTGAAATGTAAAACCTTGTCAATTTTTAATGTTTTCATTTATACCCTCTTCTTTAAACAATAACCTTATATATTTATGATTGCTATTGTAAAATGTTGTCTACCTGGGAAGCGTCGTCAATAAAGATGGTGGGAGACATGAAGAAATCAAGTGCCAAATCAACAAAGCCTGGAAAGCTTTCAACACTCCGCGAACAATCTAGAGATCAGCAGTCCTCTCACTTTACAACAAAATCCGGATCTTCAACACCAACATGAAGTCGGTCCTAGTTTATGGCTCAGAAACCTTGTGGGTAACGAAGACCAACACCGACAAACTTCAGACATTTACCAAGCGATGTCTCAAGAACAGTCTCAATACCAAGTGGCCGAAAGTCGTCTCCAACGACCAACTGTGGCACAGGACCAGACAAACCCCAAATCTAGATTGACATCAAGAAACGGAGATAGGGAGAGATCGGTCACACACTCCGCAAGCCTGCTTCTAGTGTCACCAGACACGCCCTTGATTGGTATCCACAAGGGAAGTGAAAAGTGGGTCGACCAAAAACAGACTTGGAGCAGAAATATTGACACAGAGTTAAAGGCAGCCTGAAACGAGATGGGCCGAACTGAAGAGGATCGCCCGGAACCGCGTCCGTTGGAGAGGTGTTGTTGCGGCCCTATGTTTCCTAACGAATCAAGAGGCATAATAATAAAATAATAATAATTGTAAAATTTTGTTAAAGTTGTTAAGCTTAAATATTAAGCGCAATTCGTAAGAAAAAATTACCGAAATTTATAACCAATTTTAACCAGTCTTTACCTTTATTGAGCTAAGATTATACAAATCGATATACACCTGATGAAGGCCGGAAGGTACAATAATTGAAACGTTGTGATGACAACAACAATGATTAGGACAATCGTCCGAATGTAAATAGTGTCTATAA